TATCTATCTATCTATCTATCTATCTATCTATCTATCTATCTATCTATCTATCTATCTATCTATCTATAAGATGTGGTGGAATGTAGTTTGTAGATAGAAGGACTGCATTCCCGAGGAGCAAAAGACAGAGAAGTTTAGATAGTTTGAGTAGGGGGGAAATTGCCAGAACAGCTCATCCCTATGAGTTCTCCGAGTCTCTGATTAATGGTGTAAGTAGTTTGCTTTAGCTTGGCAAGGTCTCTATCTATGGGTGAGGAACAATTAAGGAAATTGCTTAGAAGAATATGTATGACTGTCTTGGTTTTTGAGCCAGACATCAAATAATTAGTATAATTGAAATACTATTGATGCTTGCAGTTACATGCTTTTGTGTTATATCAAATTTCTTTATCATATTAGAATGATAGCTCAATGGGGATTATCAGACAATAATTGTTTCCCAGCAAAAATGCTAATTGCAGTGCCCTCTAAAGTAATAAGAATATTAATTAACCCAATAATGAAAGAAATTTTAATCTATCTTTAAATTGCTTGACAAGAGCTTAACTTTTTTTGAAAAAAGGCATAATACAAGAAGTATTTAAACTGTTAATGTGAAAGGCCAATATTAAAACTTTAAACTATTTTAATAATGAAAGTAATCACAGAACAAATTGCCATTTGACATTTTTTATAGATCAATACGAAATGAATTAAGTTCTACCATTTTAATGTCTTGTAAGACAAGCATTTTATTGTTATAAAGTATTATTTTACTTGGTAAGAATAATAGTTTGTATTTATACCATGATGAAAATAAAATGTATTAATTTTTTTTGCATGTTACTAGTTTAAAACTCTATTTAGAGTATTTGAACAGTGTCAGATTATATTTAGCTAACACTGAATTGCCAAGTAGTGAATAGTTGAATAAGTTAGCAATCCAATGTTTCTATAAAATACTGGATTAAGGAAAACTGCTTTAGAGACTAGTGAATTAGATGCCAACTTTTTTCAATGTCTATATTGTCATATTCAATGTCTCTTTACACTTTCACTGTATGAATTTTTCATATGTAAGCATCTTATAGGTTTTATTTTGGGAGCCTTGTCTCATTTGCCAGTGAAAATAGCAGATTTTTATATACCGCTTCATAGGGCTTTCAGCCCTCTCTAA